AACCTTGTATGTCTAAAACCATTCCTTTATTGTACATTTTTTTAACTTGTCTATCTGCTATATTAACCAGTATGATGTGTTGAACTAGATCTGCTATTTTCACAACTTGTGAGACACTTCTATATAAAGTGGGGCATTAATTCATGAAAAAGTTTATTTGAATTCTATAAATACATTTTTTTTGCCAACAGCAATGATGAACACGGCAGCATTCTATACCCACCAATTGTAGTATCTAGGCAAGAGCTGTCAGTCTGGTAAAGAATCTGGTTGTTATTTGAAATTTTAAAGATTCACTTTTTAGTGAATTTCTGAGTTTTAGTCGACTAAAACCAAACTAAAATAATTACGAATCAAAATTACTAAACTTTTGTCCTGAACACAAAAACTATAAATAAATCTAAGATGGCTGTCAAAAACAACAATGGAGTCATTCATTTAAATGTTGGGCAGTTTGTCTTAATCACAGAGTATTTTTTGTTTCTGTCTGAATCGATTATTTTCTACAATTTTTAGATTCAAATGTTAATCTTATACACTGTATATTCTGCAGTTCTATTCCATGTGTAATAGCATGCAATACAATTTTTTTTGCATATGATTCATTTGTTGCTCATGCGATTTGGTCCTTCTGTTCAAATTTTACTGTTTTAATAACACAGTAAAGCCTGCCTAATAAAACTGTATTTCTTTATCAAAAAACTATCCCATAAAGATTTTCATAGACTAGATACCAAAAAGCATCATAAAAACACTTTATAAAAACAAAATGTTGCTGCTACTTTTTCATATATGCCTGTTTTTGTGTGTATTTCATTGCTGTTGTGGATGTGCGCCACCAGGGGGCGCATGGAGGGGCTTTGTATGCAGTGTAGAGGTTAGTTTTCCATAGAAGAAGCGATCTCCAGAGAGACCTGATGCATGTGTCAGTCACAAAGTTTTAGTAAACCAAGAAAGAAGAAAACCAAGAATAATTCCACTCTATTCTAGTACTCAGCCAACGAGGTTTTAAGTCTGTTCATTTGTGGCAGTCATATTTGTAAATTGTCTTTATTTTTTGTAAGCTAATTATTGTATTGTTTGTGCCTTTTAGTTTTCACGGTGTGGTTTATGAGTCTGACCAAGCAAGATTCAATAAAATCCATCGGTAGAGAAAGCCACTTGTGCCTGTCGTACCTGGGGGAATTACACAAAACATAATTTCATGTACAGGTTTACTTTTTGTACATAACTCTTGCCCTTCTGAGGCTTTGTAAAGGCAAATCTGTGTTTTGAATGGTCCAGTAAAAAAAAAAACATTTTATTAATGGAGAAGCTATTAGTCAGCTTTATGTTTTTATTATATAAAAATTATTTATTTTCTGAGAATGTGTTTATTTAAGAACAACTATTCAAATTAACAAACATTTAGAAAAGGCCCCAGGGAAGAAATACATCACCAATCTGACTAAAACGGTAAACAGCTTTACTCGTCATTAAAGATAGATATTCGATATTTATCTTGCGCATCTAAAAAAAATATCTATTAATGCATTTTTAAATATTTTTACTTTATAATTTAATTTTAATTTGTTTTTTTATTTTAATCAAGGTCTTTTGGTGGATGGGGCGGTGCCCTAGCAGCCTCTATTGGCGAGCTACCATTGACTGTTATGCTGATGATACCCAGCTATATCTGTCTATGAATCCAGATGAAGCTAACCCATTACATAGATTACAGGCATGTTTTGAAGACATAAAAACCTGGATGACTCCTAACTTTCTGCTTCAACGCCACATTTACTGCTTCAAATGCAATGTAATGTAATCCTTGGACCAGAGTCTCTGAAAAAGAAGCTGATTAGCCAGTCACTTCATTTGGATGGGAATAAGTTGATCTCAGATAATAAAGTAAAAAAATCTTTGTGTTATTTTTGATAAGAACCTGTCATTTAAATCCCATATCAAAGAGGTCTCAAGAAATTCCTTCTTTCATATGAGGAATATTGCAAAAAAAATTTGAAATATCCTCTCTAGGGATGATGCTGAAAAAAACTAGTCCATGCATTTGTTACTTCAAGGCTGGACTATTGTAATTCTTTACTATCAGGAAGTCCACAAACTTAAATTAAAAGCCTTCAGCTGATCCAAAATGCTGCAGCCAGAGTTCTGATGAAAATTAAAAAAAGAGAGATCACATTTCTCCTATCCTAGTTTCTCTTCATTTGCTTCCTGTTAAATCCAGAATAGAATTTAAAATCCTCAAGTTTAGTTCTGATGCGTGGCTGAAGAATCTTTGCTGCTCTGGCTGCGCGGTAGAAAAAGTGGGTCTGATGCGCTTTGGACGGAGCTACCCTATCCTTTCTTTGCCTTGTTCATGTGTTTTGAAGGCGTGGTTTCGAGGGGTAGTCTGAAGGGAGAAGCATGGCTGTGTATCTTCAAAAATATAGCATGCCTGAACCGTTTTTCCAAGATCTCG